CATAAGTTCAAAGACAGCCTCGGCAACTTAGCGAGACAAAAACTGCAAAGGAACAGGGATGTCTAAAAAAACTATATGATGGAGCACCCCTAGGTTCACATTCCCCAGTAACAAAAAAAAAAAAAAAAAAAAAAGAGTTTGTAAAGGGCTAGGGATGTAGCTCAGGACTAATGTATGTTTGCCTGGCAGGCTGGAGACCCTGATTTCAGCCCCCAGCACTGCCAAAAAATTTTGAAAACAAGGTTTGGGGCGTCTTTTTAATACGGTACTTATGGTATTAGATACTGTGCAGTTTGGTTCCTAGGCTTAAATCCCACTAAAAGGGTTTTAAATATTGCAACTCTAAAGAGCCTGCTACCATTTGAGGAAGACAAAAATACAAAATCAACTGGTTGCTATAATGGAAGTACAAAAAGTAATGAGAGCATAAAGTGAAGTCTATCTTGGATGGAAGAATCAGGACAGGTCTTAAAAAAGTTATCCAGCTGGGCATGGTGGTACAGGAGGCTGAGGCCAGAGGATCCTGCTTAAAGCCAGCCTCAGCAATTTGGTTGAGATCCTATCTCTAAATCAAATATAAAAAGGGCTATGGGAGCTGGGATTGTGGCTCAGTGGTGGAGCGCTTGCCTCGAATGCGTGAGATACTGTGTTTGATTCTGAGCACCACATATAAACAAAATAAAGGCCCATCAATGTCTAAAAAAATATTTTTAAAAAGGGCTGGGGATGTGATTCAGTGGTTACACTTCTGGGTTCAACCCCTGGTACAAAAAAAAAAAATTATCCAGCTTGGAGCAGTTAGCTCCAGCCTATTCTGGAGGCTGAGGAAGGAGGATAAATTCAAAGCCAGCCTTGACAATTTAGAAAGACCCTGTTTCAAGATAATAAAAAAAAAAATGGGGGGGCTGGGGATGTAACTCCATGGTTAAATGCCTGCCTATTATGTGCAAGATCCTGGGTTCATCCCCAGTACCACCTAAATAAGGGCTGAGGATGTAGCTCAATGGTAAAATGGTCCTACCTTTAGTCAGGGATGGGGATGAGGGGTCTGTATCCAAGACATGGATGGAAATAAGGGTGCCTAGGAAGTTGATTAATCTTCTTGACCTCAGATTAATTCTCAAGAAGGTACCTGTTTCCACTTTGCTAATTATAATGTAGATCTTAGACATGAAATTGTAGATTTCTGTCTCATACAGAAGCTGACTATGAGGCCCCACGTTGGGGTGCATGCCTGTAATCCCAGTTGTCTGGGAGGCTGAGGCAGGAGGATTGGGAGTGCAAAACCAGCCTTAGCAATTTAGTGAGGCCCTAAGCAACTCGGTGATACCCCCTCTCTAAAGTAAAAATGCAAAATAGGGTTGGGAATGTGTGGCTCAGTGGTCGAGTGGCCCAGAGTTCAATCCCTGGTTACACCCCCCCCCCAAAAAAAAAAAAAAACTATGAAACTACCAATTTATTGTTTATTACTCTGTTGTCAATGAACCAGTTTTGTTTACAACCTTATTCTGGATTTTTTTTATTCCTGTAAATACCTTGTTCCTTAAATGTTCATAGAACAAACTTTACTATTTTACTGGTTTAGTCAATTGAATTAAATATTTGGCTTACTATTTGTGTTTTGGGGGGAGGCTTTTCATTTGTTTTTAAATTCTATTTTGACAGCCTTATATAAGGATCAACAGAATCCCCACCCAACCCCATCCGCCCCCTTTCAGTATCAGGAAGAGAACCTCCGGTATTCTACTGACCTACATTATGTCCCCAGCCCTTTTTTGTTCTGAGATTGTCTACCTAAAAGTTGTCCAGGCTGGCTTTGAACTTGTAATTCTCCTGCTTCAGCCTTATAAGTACAAACATTACATCTCTCCCTCAATCCTGCTGTGGGGACAGATATTTTATCCCCCACCCCTTACATCAGAAATCTTGAAAGGTGAGAAGATGAAAAAAAAAAGAAACAGAAGTATGTGTTAGTCAATGGTTAGCCACATTTTTTTTATAAGGGGAAGATTAAGGCTACAAAATAATTTACAACTCTGCTACAGTGGTACAAAACCAAGACAGTATGTAAACAAATGAGGGTAGTTGTATTTAATAAAGCTATTTAATGATGTTGAAATATGAATTATTTTTCTCATGTCACAAGATATTCTTTTTTTCCCCAACTATTTAAAAATGTAAAATAAGTTAGACAAAAACAACAGGGTGGGATAGATTCGGTCATATAGTTTGCCAACCTCTGACCTAAGCAGCCCAGAGTGTAGCAAGATCATTACCAAATTAATGGTGGCACTTAATATCAGACTGATTGTGTACAACTTAAATCTTTGGCAATGGGAAGCTACTTTTTTTTTATTTTTTTAAGGTAGAGGACTAATACTCTTGTGCTCTATAAAGATTAATCTGGCAACAAATATAAAATGGATTTAAAATGGAGGAATCTAAGATATCATTTACAAGACTGAAACCCCACTGACAAATTCCTTTCTCAGAAGTGCTGAACTAGGCATGGTGGCACATACCTGTGACTCCCAGTGGCTTGGGAGGCTAAGGCAGGAAGATCCCAAGCTCAAAACCAGCCTCAGCAAGACCCTGTTTTTTTTGTTTTGTTTTTTTTTTTTTAATATTTTTTAGTTGTAATTGGACACAATACCTTTATTTTATTTATTTTATGTGGTGCTGAGGATTGAACCCAGGGTTTTGCACGTGCTAGGCGAGCACTCTACCACTCAGCCACAACCCCAGCCCCAAGACCCTCTCTTTAAATAAAATATAAACAAGGGCTCAGTGACTAAGCATCCCTGGGTTTAATCCCTGGTACAAAAAAAAAAAAAAAAAGTGCTGAAGCTGGGCACAATGGTACATATCTACCCCTGTGAAATCCCAGAGACTCAGGAGGCTGAGGCAGGAGGATCACAAGGTAAACACCAGCATGGAAAATTTAGTGAGACCTTGTCTCGAAACAAAAATGGTCTGGGGATATACCTCAGTGGTAGAGCACCCCTGAGTTCAATCCCCAGTAAAGCCAAAAATTAAAAGTGTTGTAGGGTTGAGGTTATGGCTCAGTGGTAGAGTTCTTTCCTTGCACATTGAGGCCCTGGGTTCGATCCTCAGCACCAAATAAAAATAAATAAAATAGAGGTTTTGTGTCCAACTACAACTAAAAAAGTGTTGTAGCCAGGCACCTGTAGTCCCAACTACTGGGGATACTGAGGCAAGAGTCTCCTAGTTTGAAGCTAAGTGGGCAATTTAGGGAGATCCTGCCTGTTTAAAAAAAATGCTGTGGGTAAAAACTGCTTTTTCACACAGCATTTTTAAAAATTCAGGACAACTGCATCCTAATCCATAATTTATTACTTCCCTGTCCCCTATTGGTTTATTTACCTCCCCAATTCAGGGGTACTGGCAGTTGAACTCGTGGGCACTCAACCACTGAGCCACATCCCCAGCCCTATTTTGTACCTTATTTAGAGACAGGGTCTCACTGAGTTGTTTAGTGCCTCACTAAGTTGCTGAAGCTGGCTTTGAACTCTCAACCCTCCTGCCTCAGCCTACCAAGCTGCTGAGATTACAGGCATGCACCACCATGCCTGATCCAATTCATACTTTGCTAAACATATATCAAGGGATTTCAAGTTAGAATGGTTCTGGAAATGGCTTCTCTCCCCAAGTTTATAGTTCATAAGCAGGTTTATTCATGCCTTTAGATGTTTTCTCAATCCTTAGCTGGTAGAAACCAAGTTGTGCTGGGTTTCTTTTTCAAATTACTAAAAAGCTCAGTTTCTAATAGGATAAAGATCCAGATTAAAACCTCTTATGGTATCACTGCTTTTAGCAGAGAAATCTGCAATTTGGATTGCAGGACACTAGAAAATATTTGGCACAAACATTAGATGCCATTTCCAAATTTAATCCTGACAGTCTTCTGAAAGAAAAGAAACTACCTGGTCAAATTTAATTTTTTTTCATACCTATAGGAAGCTGAGGTAGTAGAAGTGCCTGAGTTCACAAGTTTTTGACCAGCCTGGGCAATATTTCAAGAACCCATCTCAAAGAAAAAAAAATTAAATGTAGAAACATTCTGTCATTTACAATTGTAGTATCCAGCCATGCAGATCTGAAATCCTGGTGACTCAGAAGGCTAAGGCAGGAGGATTGCAAATATGAAGTCAGCCTCATTAATTTAGTGAGATCTTGTCTGAAAAAAAAATTTTTAAACATAGTAGTATTCATGTTTTTTCTCTTTGATATTTTTCTGACCTCTGAATTTATGTGTCCAAATGGATATCCTCAGCGCATACCTATAATTCTAGCTACTTGGGAGGCTGAGGCAGGGGGATCAAATTCAAGACCAGCCCAGGCGATTTACTAATACTGTCTCAAAATATGATATAAAGCGGGCAGGGGTGGGGAGGGGGTGTAGTTCCTCTAGCATATGTTATGTAGCTTGCCTAGCATATACTAGACCCTTGGTTTAATCCTCAGCATTACATTAAAATAAATAAATTATAATAAGTACTACATTACAGCTATAAACAAAGTACTAAAAGAGGGGGTAACATTGGGCTGAGTGTCAAAGGCTGAATAAGTCTTTCCCAATGAGAAGAAAAGGGTATTTCTTTTTTTTTAGAGAATTTTAATATTTTTTTTTTTTTAGTTTCCAGCGGACACAACATCTTTGTTTGTATGTGGTACTGAGGATCGAACCCAGGCTGCAGGCATGGCAGGCGAGCGCGCTACCACTTGAGCCACATCCGCATCCCAGAAAGGGGTATTTCTGGCAGTGGAGAAAGCATATGTAAAACAGAATCAATGGTATTTTAAGGAATCTGCAAAGTTCAATGTGGCTGAGTTCAGGAGATGGTGTCAATAATACAAGATGTAAAATACAAGGCTGGAGAAAGAGGTTTAGGCAAGATGATAAAGGACCCTATACGCCTACATGAGGAGTCTGAACTTAATTCTATAGACAACAAAGAGCCAGAAGTTTTTTGTTTTCCTTTTGTCTCTAAGAGCTGAAACTGAAAGCCATCAGTCTGTCATGTGTCATTGGAATGTACTGTAGCACAGGAATGGAACCCATTAGCTATTTAGCCAGGTTAACAGGTTATCAGCAGTGCTCCAGAAGTTTTTTTATTAGGATACCAGAGGGTATGTTGTTTTGTTTTGATTTTGGTACTGGTAATTGAACCCAGGGCCACTTTACCATGAGCTACATCGTTAGTCCTTTTTTTTTTTTTTTTTTTTAATGCTTATGTTTTAGAAGTAGTTGGACACAATACCTTTATTTTTATGTGGTGCTGAGGATCAAACCCAGGGCCTCGCACGTGGTAGAGGAGTGGAGCACTCTACTGCTGAGCCACAATCCCAGCCCACTGGTCCTTTTTTTAAATCTTGAGATGGGGTATAAGTTGCTGAAGTTTTTGCTAAATTGCTGAGGCTGGCCTTGAATTTGTGATATTCCTGTTTTTGCCTCCACTATCTCTGGGATTACAGATATAAGTTACCCAGCCTGTTTTCACAGGGGTTTTTGGTGGAGGTGGTAGTGGTGGTGGTGATGGTGGTGATAATTTAATTTGTTTTTTTTTTTTTTAGGAAGATACTTTTTTGTTTGGTTTGGTTTTAGTACCAGTGAATAAATCCTGGGTTGCTTTGCCACTGAGCTACATCCCCAGATTATTATTATTATTATTATTATTATTATTATTATTATCATCATCATCAACTGGGGATTGGATCCTGGGGCATTTTACCACTGAGGTCTTTTTTTATTTTTTATTCTGAGACAAGGTTTCTCTAAGTTTCCTAGGGCCTTGCTAAATTGCTGAGGCTGGCCTTGAATTTATAATCCTTCTGCCTCTGCCCCTTGAGTCACTGGGATTATAGACAGTCATGTCCCCCCACACCCAGCCCTTATTTCTTTTTTCTTTTTCTTTTTTGGGGGGTACCAGAGATTCATCTCAGGGGCACTCAACCACTGAGTCACATTCCTGGCCCTTTTTGGGAATTTTATTTAGAGACAGGTTGTAACTGAGTTGCTTAGTGCCTCGGTTTTGCTGAGGCTGACTTTGAGCTCTTACTTCAGCCTCCTGAGCCACTGGGATTACAGGCATACGCTACCATGCCTGGCTATTTATTTATTTATTTTTATTTTTGAATTTTTTTTTAGAGCTGGAGTTATGGCTTAGCGGTAGAGTGCTCTCCTAGCGCATGCAAGGCCCTGGGTTCAATCCTCAGCACCACATAAAAACAAATAAATCCAGGTTTGTGTCCAACTCCAACTAAAAAATAAATATTAAAAATATTTTTTGTTGTAGATAAACACAATACCTTTACTTATTTATTTTTATGTTTCTCCGAGGATCGAACCTGTGCCTCATACATGAGAGGCAAGCACTGTGTCACTGAGCTACAATCCCAGCCCTGTTTTGTTTTTTTGTTTGTTTGTTTGTTTTAAATTTTGAGACAAGTTCTCACTTAGTTGCTGAAGGTCTTGATAAATTATGGAGACTAGCTTCGAACTTTTGATTCTCCTGCCTCAGTGTCCCTAGTCACTGAAATAACAGGCATACACCACTGGGCCTGGCTTTGTGTTGTTTTTGCAGTTCTGAGAATAGAATCCAGGTCCTCATGCATGTTAGGTAGTCCTGTACCCTAGCTGTTATTGTTTGGATTCCCCCACACACACACTGGGGATTGAACCCAGGGCCTTGTGCACACATGCAAGCACTCTACCAAGTGAGCTATATGCCCAGCCCCAGTAAATCTTAAAAGTCCCATAAAAGCTCTTGTGTTGAAGATCCCTAGATGACAATGCCATTGAGAAGTAGCAGAATATTTAGGAGATTGGGCCTAGTTTAAGGAAGTTAGGTTATTGGGGGTATGCCCTTGAAGCAAATATTGGGACCTTCATGTCTTCCTCTCTTGCTTGATGGTCATGAAGTTTGGCCTCACAACAGACCAGTTTCAGGGCTTAGAGAAGGTGGACTGAAACCTCTAAAACTATGAACCAAAATCTTTCCTCAAGATTTATTTATTTTCTAATTTTTTTTTAGTTATAGATGGACACAATATTTTATTTATTTTCATGTGGTACTGAGGATTGAACCTAGTGCCTCATACTTGCAAGGCAAGCACTCTGCCACGGAGCCACAATCCCAGCCCAAGATTTATTTTTTTATTTACTTATTTTTTGGGGGTACTAGAGATTGAACTCTGGTACAATCAACCACTGAGCCATATCCCCAGCCCCATTTCGTATTTTATTTAGAGACAGGGTCTCACTGAGTTGCTTAGTGCCTCACTAAGTTGCTGAGGATGGCTTTGAACTTTAGATTCTCCTGCCTCAGCCTCCTGAGCTGCTGGAATTACAGGCAAGTGCCACTGTGCCTGGGTACAACTTATTTATTCATTTATTTATTTTTGTGGTGCTGGGGATTGAACCCAGGGCCTTGTGCATGTGAGGCAAGCACTCTGTCAACTGAGCTATATCCCCAGCCCTATTTATTTATTTTTTAAATATTTTTTAGTTGTTGATGGACCTTTATTTTATTTATTTGTATGTGGTGCTGATAATCAAACCCAGTGCCTCACACATGCTAGGCAAATAGAGGCTCTGCCACAGAGCTACAATCCCGGCCCTAAGATTTATTTTTTAAAGCAATTTTTCTCAGGTATTTTGTCACTGACAAAAAGCTGACTTATACATCAGCCTAGGAAAATAGTTCTTATAAGGTTGGTGGATAAATTCCTTTAATGTGAGAACTGATGTTATGCTTTATATCATTATATTACTATGCCTAGCTCATAGTATGTTTTTAAAAAAATTGTTGATTATATTTTGTATTTGTGAAAAACTTTGGACAAACAGACCAGTTGTGATAATTTAGGCAAGAGAGTAGACCTAAAACTAAAGCAGTGGCAATAGAAGTAAAAAGAAAAGCTCACCCAGAATTTCACTATGCTTCTGACCTTGAAGACCAGTTAGAAAAGGGAAGAGATAACAAGGTTTCTAATGTGGGAAATTGGTTGAAATGTGACACCATTACCTGAGACTGAAAGGGATAGATGGAGGAGTTGAAAGAGATAATTTAATATTGTATATATTTAGTAGTTGAGGGAAGGAGTCAGGGGACTTGTTTGGAAACCAGGAAGGTTTTATGATGTTTAAAGGGTGGGAGAAGCCATTGGAAAGTGAGGGGTGAGAAGGAATGATAACAGAATCAAGAGTCTTGCATGAGGTAGGAGACAACAAAAACTAAGAAAGAGAAGGTCTAGGGAGGAGGGGAAAAGAAGGAAAGCGTAAGCCTAAATACAAGTTCTAAATGCTTTCCCACATAGAAAAACCCAAAGCTTGTAAGGAAGATCTTTGTGTACTTTATATATTTAGATCTATTTTGTACTCTAATCTTATAATGTCATAGTTTGGGATTTGCTAAAGATGATCAGGCATATACCAAAATGATGATTTGATGGCTGGGGATGTAGACCAGTGTTGGAGCACTCGCCTAGCATGAGGTCCCGGATTCAATCCCCAGTACCACAAACACACACACAAAAAAGAAAAGATAATCTGATGCAGAGCTAATCAATTTATATAAATATTAATGATAACCTGTAACAGAAATAAAGGCATTTCAGGTGTAGTCCTGATATAGACTCAAGAATACATTGTATTGACTACGGATGTAATTCAGTGGTAGGGCATGTGCTTTGCATGTTCAAGGTCCTGAGCGTAATCCATAAATAAACAAATAGTAAGTTCCATGAAATCTGGGAATTTGTTTTGCTGTTTTGTGTATTCCTTAGGCTTTTTGTGTGTAAGGTGCATACTAGACAAATGTTCTATCACTGAGCTACATCCTCAGTCCAGAAAAACTTTTGATAAAAATTAGCATCTATGCATAATAAACAGAATATGTAATAAATAATAATAAGTAAATAAAAATTCAAGGAAACATATATAGTAAAGGCTATTATGTCGAAACAAATAACAGATAATATTCCTTTTTTTTTTTTTTGTACTAGGGATTGAACCTGGGGGGAGTTTAACCACTGAGCCATATCCCTAACCCTTTTTATTTTTTATTTTGAGACATGGTCTTTCTCAGTGGCTTAGGGTCTCACTAGGTTGCTGAGACTGGCCTCAAAATTCTGATCCTCCTGCCTTAGCCTCCCAAGTCACTGGGATTACAGGCATGGACCATTGCACCTGGTTTAAATGGTAAAACCCTTAAATATTTTAGTTAAAATTGGAAACATATTGGGATGCTTACTATGTTGCCAGTTATTACTTTGTATTTAAACTTCATTTTTTTAATCAAAATTACAAGTATTGGGGATGTAGTGATAGAGCACTTGCTTAGCTTGCACAAGGCCCTGGATTCTTTCCCCAGCGCTGAAAAACAACAAAACAAAATTGCACATGCACATGTTTTAAAGAGTCAGCTAATTCTATAATACATATTTTTAAAAAAAAGCTGGATGCAGTGACATACACACCTGTAATCCCAGTGGCTTTGGAGGCTGAGGCAGGAGGATCATGAGTTCAAAGCCAGTCTCAGCAACTTTGTGAAATCCTGTCTCTAATTTAAAAAAAGGAGGAGGAGGGGGAGGAGGAGGAGGAGGGGGAGGAGGAGGAGGAGAATAAAGCGGTGGCTGGGGATGTGGCTCAGTGGTTAAGCACCCCTGGGTTCAATACCAATAAAAGAAAAAGAAAAAAACAATCATCCCCAGCTCCCTAATTCCCTATCCCTATTTATTCTTTATCAGAGACATCTTTTTTTTTTTTTTTTAATAAATGAAAACACAAAAATCTGTCTTTTTTCTGCTTTAACAATGGGCACCTTGGAAACCAAGTAAGAATATTCTACTCCCAGTGCCAAACACGTAAAAATATTTAGACGTTAAGAAATTTTTTTTTTAAAGAGAGAGAATTTTTAAATTTATTTTTTTTTTAGTTATCGGCAGACACAACATCTTTGTTTGTATGTGGTGCTGAGGATCGAACACGGGCCGCAGGCATGGCAGACGAGCGCGCTACAGCTTGAGCCACACCCCCAGCCCCTGAAACATTTTATTTTATTTGGTGGTGCTGGGGATTGAACCCAGGGCCTTATGCAT